AAAAAAAAAACGAAACGCTTCTTATGGGAACGCGCGCTTGTCGTTCGAAACGTCTCTCGGTGGTCGCCACCAGCGAGAAACACAAGCCAACGGATCGAGGCTCGGCGAGGAGAGATGGAAACTGCATCTCAAATCGAAATCGAAAAGTCTGTTTGATCCTTGCTGTCACTCGCCGAGTTTCGATCGCGTTTTTTACCACGCAGTATCGGCAACAGGGAGAGTCGTTGTTGACTAAAAGTTTCGTACGGCTGAAAAAAAAAAAAGAAAAAAACAGAAAAGAAAAAAAGAAAAAAAGAAACAGTCAAGGGTGGGCGAGGGATGGCTGGGCTAGCGCGATTGAAAACGAATCAATCGCGTAAGAGAGAGTAATTACGAGGGGGGCACACACACACGACGACGACATCGCGTGGCTCGCTTGGCTGAGATTGGTTCGTTCTAATCCGTGTTACCTGGATACTTTCCGGGTGTGTTTTCACAGGCGACGAACCCGTACCTGACCGGTATGCCGCAGGTTGGCAACACGTACAGCCCGTACTTCGCGCCGAGTCCGATCATGCCAGCGATCATGGGCCCGGCGGATCCAACAGGAGTCGGGAGCCCGTTGGGCGTGGTGCCGCAGACGGTGGCGATGCCGCAGAAGATGCCACGTACCGACCGCCTCGAGGTATGTCTACCACCAAACTACATTCAACAACAACAACAACAGCAACAACAACAACAACAACAGCATGGGGCCCAACACGGCGCAGCCGGGGCCTCAAGGTGCCCGATGGCCGCGCCCAATACCGTGTACCAAGTGCCGGCCGGTCCCCCCAATCAGGTGTCACCCGTTTCCACGATGCAATCTGTCAATCATCCGCCATCCCCGACCACCATCACCACCACCTCCTTCTGTACCCCGTTGCACAATCCACACGCCCACCACCACCCCATCCACAACCTGATCTACGTCCACGCGTACTATTGAAATCGATCGACGTCGTCGATGCAGCTCTCTTCTTTCCCCCTTTCTTTTCTCACTCACGTTTTATCGTTTTCTCACCCCACTTTCGCGCGTGCCGGCACCGCCGGTTCTCTCGCGTCTTCTTACGCCTTACGTTTCGTACCTTGCCGCCTCCTCGGCGTCCACCACGGGATCGTTCCCATCGTGGATCGCTCAACGCTTTCGGAAAGAAGAGACCGGTCAACGCCGTTGATTTTCACGCCGTTCGGGAGTAGATGCTCGGGGGAGAACATTCCCAGGCTGGGGAACTTGGCTGGCTCGCTCTCGTTCTCTCGAAAGTCGGCACGCGTTTTTCGCGGAACGAGAACGGAATCTCCCGGTGATGAATCTTATATTTATATGATATGTATTGTATTCGATAAACGGTATAATCTGCTCTCTCCGGGAAATAAAGACGAAAAATAATACACCGAAAAAGAAGAAAAAAAAAAGAAAGGGAGAGAGAAAACACACGTCGCGAAATAAAAAAAGAAAGGGAAAAAAATTCAGCTTCGTTGCCGCTCTATTCCGGCTAGACGAGCCGAGAACAGAAATTATTTTATTCGATTCCCGTTCGATCGGGATCGGGAATTATCGGGATGTTTCAGCGTTGTCGCGCCGGATCATCCGGCAAAAAAAAGAAAAAAAAAAAAAAGAAAACACTGCACCGTGACGATGATTTCACGGGTCGCTTGTAGCCAGGAGAACGAACTGGAGCGAAACGAAGCTCGCTAATGACGGAACAGAAGGGGCGAGAGTATGGGATGTAAAAGGCGGGGCCCGAGATAGTGGAAATGGGCTATACGATTTCTATATAATCTTTTCAGTAATCACTTAGTACGGTTATCATAGCACTGTACTGTATATGGTGTACGGGGGATCTCGGTTTAAAGCTACGTGTCCACTGTAGAGTAAAACTGTCGCGAGTTGCTCTCGAGAGTATTTTGCCGCAGACGGATACTGCTTCTGAGAGTTACTGTCCAAGAACATCTCTCAATGTTTACGACCTGCATGCAAATGGACGCAATATTATACTGCTCTCGGAGAGTTACTGCCAGGTTTCGAAGTTTTGAGAGTACGAGCAGAATAACGAATAATAAAATAAAACAATAGAATAATAATAATGAAAAAAGTGTGGTCAGAAAGTGAAATTATTGGACTAATTTCTTTTAATTTAAATTATTACACAATAATTATATTATATAATATTATACAATGCAATTATTGTGTAATAATTTAAATATTATATATAAATATTATATAATATAATTTAATGTAATTTAAATATATATAAATATAAATATTATATGATTATCACGTATTATATAAATTATCACATAATTATTATATTGTATAATATTACACAATATAATTATTGTGCAATAATTTAAATATTATGTATAGATATAAATATTATATAATATAATTTAATGCAATTTAAATATTATATATGAATATAAATATTATATAATAAAATTTAATGCAATTTAAATATTATATATAAATATAAATATTACATGATATTTAATTATATTGTAATAATTTAAATTATTGAACTCTTCTTTCTATGTTGATTTTTCTTTTTTTCTTAAAATATTATCGGCACACATTTTCCTGCACCTCAGAGTTCCATCGGATGATAAGCTCTCGGAGAGTATTTCGGTCTCTCTCGATGAGTGTGAAAATTCTCAAAGCTGCTCTCAAAACGGACACAGACGAGAATACTGTCGAGAGTAAGTAACTCTGTCGCGAGTGACTCTCAAATGGACACGAGGCTACGATAAGTGAAAATCGCATTACACGACGGTAGAGGGTAGAGTTTTTTCGAGTCTGCTTTTTTTTTTTCTTTTTTTTTTTTTTTTTCCTGTTTAATTGCGGAGATTGTACACCGACAACCGAAAAAAAAGAAAGAAAGAAAAAAAAAAAAGAAGAAACAACTGTTAATGGCAACGACGAAACGAAACGTGATGATAATTGTTACTACTAGGGAGAAGAGTAGGTGGTAGAACACTCTGGCGAGATGCAGAGGGTGTTGCAACGATCTTTGTACGAGTTCCCTTTCTGCATCGAAGCAAGAAAAACACCCGCGGATTTCTGAATCGCGAAAGCGGACAGCGACGAATTGACACTCGCGAATTGAGTTTTCGCCCTTCGTCGGCGAACGTAAGGAAACGATAATGTTTCTTGGCGTGAGAAGAAAGTTGGCAAGCGCTCGTCGGCCGGCAGGGGATGGGCGAGTTTTATAATGTTCGAGTTTACAGATTTCCCCGGAGCCTGTATCGTTTCTTTCGCCCGGCGGCTTTCGCGGAATTAACAAGTTTCGCGCGGCGTTACCGCGGCGAAAATGAATAAAATCGGCGAGCAAGGGGGAAGGGGCTGACGGAGGAGTATCGGCGCGCGAAACTCTCGCGGATCGTTTGTGAAATGGAGCTTCCCCGTATCTTTTTTTTTCTTTCTTTCTTTCTTTCTTTCTTTCTTTCTTTCTTTCTTTCTTTTTCTTCTTTTTTTTCTCTCTCTTTCTCTCTCTCCGGAACGAGAAACTGCTCTTCGTAGAAAGCGAATTTAATACGTTTTCCGTGTATTCGACCGGTAACGAGACTGACTCCCGCGCGAATGGCCAGCTATAGAAATATCTGCCGTTTCTCTCTCTTTCTTTCTCTCTTTCTATATTCTCTTCCCGCAAAAAAAAAAAAAAAAAAAGGAAGAAAATCAATGATTCGCGATCGTTTGTACGATTCTAGCAACGTTTATTTTTACACAAATGTTATCTTGACTGAAATTCTGTAGAATCCGAAAATTTCATGTTCCAAACCTTCATGTTTGGTCGACAACGTTGCCATTTATTTTATTGTTGTTTGGCAGATTTCGTATTTGTTTTAACAAAGAACCTGTTGGACAGTTCCTATTAATAAACAAAGTTTATTAACGAGATGTACGAGATCTACTAGCGAATGAAAGTATTCGTTGCTAACAGAATCAGATCAATCGATGTCGCGGGAGTAAAATACAGACGAATCTAAGTTTACGATTGCAACGTGTTGTCGACGAGAATAACGAAAAGCAGCTCGTGATTTCAAACGCAGTTCAATTTTCTTTTTTTCTTTTCTTTTTTTTTTTTTTTCTTTTTGTTAGAGAAGCTTCAAAGATCGTTGCACAACATTCCCGATGCAGTATTTTAACAACGTTCTAAAGAATCTATTGCAATTGCACACGTATGCAGTGTAACGTTTGTAACGCGACGAGACCCATACGCGCATAGCAACACGTGTAAATAGTAGGTAGGTTAACAAATTAACTGATTGAGTTTTGTATCGAGGAGAACGAGAGCCGAGAATAAAAACTGTACCTTAGTTCCGTCTCTTCGAGGTCGTCCTCGATTGTTCCTCCGTTGGTGAATTTTGTAACGCAATTTTGTAGTTTCTTTTCGCTAGGGATTCTTTTTTTTTTTTTTTGTTTTTGTTTTTGTACTATATTTCCAGCGAAGAGGTTTCCAGCCTGGGATTTTCAAAAAGTGTCTTTTCTTTCTATCACGCGTCGTTTTATCACCGAATGGAACGGCCGATTTTAAACCGAACGAATCGTCGAGACTTCTTTTTTGTTTCCTTTCGTCTCCTTTTCTTTTCTTCTTTTTTTCAAAAAAATTTCGCGCGTGGCGTTCGAACTTCTCCTACTTTACCCTCCACTATTTATATATATATATATATATATATATATATATATATATATATATATATATATATATATATATATATATGTATATGTATATGTATATGTATATGTATATGTATATGTATATATATATATATATCCTTTACGCTCCGTGAAAATATACTTGTTTCAAAGGTTTTTTGTACTGTCCTCTCTCCCTCGTCTAAAAGTAATGATGTTAGGACCTTACGATTAAGTACGAACGAAAAAGGGAAAAGAATACGGAAAAAAAAAAAAAGAAGAAGAAGTACTATGAATTATTATGGAGTAATGTAATGTCGTTAATTAAACAACAATTATTGCAAATAGAATTCGGAAAAAACTTATTATCGATCGATAATCTTTTATCAGCTAACCAGCAAATTGGTCTTTAACGGTAATAATTATAATTATTATAATATTTGGTAACGTACGATTAATGATGATAACTAGTATATCGTACACGATATATCTATTTGTGATGTAAACCCACTCGAATGACTTGCACTAAGTTCGGGTCAACGATGAAATTTATTGAACGAATGAATTCAAATAAAAGAAATATAATTGAAATTGAAAAAAACAATGCACAGACTGTTTATTGAATCTTTTTTTTCTTTTTTTAAGTTCTCACTACGACAAGGGGAAAAAAAAGCAACCGAAATGAAAGAAAAAGAAAACAAAAGGAAAAAAAAAATAGAAATAGACAAGTATCGAAAGTTTGTGTGCTTTCTGTGTCTTACCTTTTTTTTTTTTTTCATTCTTCTTGATTATACACGTTGCTTTATTCTTTTTTTT